GGTTATCTCAAGAGCCTGATACATAAACCTCGTTCCAATATGGATCGCATTTGTTATGTTTTAAAGTCTCACTCCGGCTGTTGTATGGGCCCCTAATACAACTCAAGGTTGAACGCGGTTTCTGGGGACTAGTACCCAGGTGATTCTCATACGAATATTGGCACTTTGTGTAACCTTATGCTTATTGTTTATTGTGAGTTCTTGGTTGGATTGAACGTTACTCAAGACGTGGGGAAAAATAGTTCGCCTAATGTTCCTAATTTAGGACAGTGATGATCTTAAAAAAATGTGGAAAGGGAAGCAAAGAAAAGTAATCCGAAAGTGTGGGAGTAACAGTGCATTTCTTCTTTTACAATTTATTACCTGATGGATCATAGGTCCTCAACCAGTTTATGCCTATCCTTTGTATGTAGCTCACCCACCCGATATTTTTAACCTCGCTTTCTAGCTCTCTTCTCCGTGAGTTTTGTCTGACATTATTTCTATGCTTTTTTAGGTTCCAGTGCAAAGACTATCTAATTATACTGTTCTCAAGTTTTCTCCACCTGTGTCTTATCCATTATCCGCGTTATTTCCCCAACTCTTGATTCACTGGAATTTGCTTAGCTATGTCATAAAGCTCAACATTAGTTATTGTATCGTACAAATTAACCCCATCCGTTCCGCACAAGCACTAGTTAGTCATTGTTTTAGTTGCTCTCGATGTTCTGGCGTCACACAGCAGAACTGGGAGTAATAGTTTTGGTAACACTAGAACCCAAGCATCTGGTCTCCTGATTATGTAAGCTTGCCCACTATAGTAACATATTTTCTATACGCGGTCAAAGCAATTTCCTGATTATACAAGTTTGTTCTCTGTAGTATCATCTCGTCGCTACGCTGTCGAACCATATTTCATTATTATATAAGTTTATTCACTAAATTATCGTTAATGTCGCTACGCTGTCGAACCATATTTCATTATTATATAAGTTTATTTTCTGAAGTATCGTTAATGTCGGTACGCTGTCGAAGCAAACAAAAACCTGTTTGGTCTACTCCTCTGCTTTGTTCAGCCTTGAAATAAAGCGTTGTTGTGAATTTTAAAATATATGCAGTGTATGGTGTGCTTTCGCATGTGAGCCAGTGTTGGAAGATTTTGTTGATTTTATCGATCCATCTGCTCCTGGTCTTCTTCCTCTTCTGTACCCAGTTCATCTACAGTTGTTGTGTATGCACGAACAGCTTTCCCAGGTTCCATTCTCATTATTTCGACACTAAGAAACTCACCCTCCATTTGTTGGTTTCAAAGACATGATACCCTTCTCTCAATTCCTTGCAACCATTCCGCTCACCCCTTCAATCCGAATTCCTCATTTAACTCATACCGTTCCAAAGTATAGTTATATTAACCCCTCACACGCAAACACTGAATACCCAAGTTACGATTTCGTACAACAAAATATACTGAAATAACAGCAGAGTAGTACTGAGAGATTTAAATTACTGAACTAACAGTTTCTCTGTTTTCTGTGTTTTACCAATACCTGGCGGTTTATACCATTTCTCCAATGTCATAGATTCTTAGCATTCGCTGTAGTCATTGTATATTTTTTAAAGTGGTAAGCTTGAATGAAATATCAATATTATCAACGAGCATTCCTGCGACTATCATGAGCATCACAGAGCAGCAAGGGCACTGAAGCAGCAGCAGCAGCAGCAGCACAGTAGCAGCATCAGCAGCAGCGAGGTCGTTATTGCTCCAAATAAAAGGCCCACGAGCGAAGCGTGCGACAAATCCTGACTGCATGCGAAGCTGCACATTAAGGTAGTCGTGTTCATACTGTCCTATGTTTTGTTAGCCTGTGTCTAAAACTGCATTACACATTCCCAAACAATTGATGTGTAGATTACTATTCGCCTAAATATCTTCTTGCTTTTACCCAGCAATGTAAGATATGCTGGTAAGAGACTGGTTTGACAGTCGGGAGACTTTTCGTGTATAACTTCGCTTTCCATAACTGTCACCACTTCTCTTTGTCGTTTACTTCTACTACTACTGATACTACTACTGATACTACTACAGATACTACTACTGATACTATAACTGATACTACTACTATTACAGCTACTGATACTACTACAGATACTACTACTGATACTACTACTGATACTACTACTGATACTACTACTATTACTGCTACTGTGACTCCTGCTACTACTACTACTACTATTACTGCTACTGTCACTCCTGCTACTACTACTACTATTACTGCTAATGTCACTGCTGCTACTACTACTATTACTACTACTGTCACTCCTGCTACTACTACTACTATTACTGCTACTGTCACTCCTGCTACTACTACTACTATTACTGCTACTGTCACTCCTGCTACTACTACTAATATTACTGCTACTGTCACTGCTGCTACTACTACTATTACTACTACTGTCACTCCTGCTACTACTACTATTACTACTACTATCACTCCTGCTACTACTACTATTACTACTACTGACACTCTTGATACTACTACTACTACTACTACCACTACTACTACTAATACTACTACTACTACTACTACTACTACTACTACTAATATTACTACTAATGTCACTCCTGCTACTACTACTATTACTACTACTGACACTCTTAATACTACTACTACTACTACTACTACTACTACTACTACTACTACTACTACTACTACTACTACTACTACTATTACTACTACTATTACTACTACTACTACTACTACTACTACTACTACTACTACTACTACTACTACTACTACTACTACTACTACTACTTCCTAAATGTAACCTCTAGTGGAGCAAAGACCCTTAATCAGATGGCGCCAAGCTGCCCAATTCTTTTGTCATAGAGTAGAGTTCAGCTCATTTATTCCTTATCTTATCCCATCTATCCTATCTCATATTCACTTCCAGATTTTTGCCTTTATTTCATTTGCCTTGTGATATCAGTTTTAAAACAGTACAGTTATTTACATTTGTGTGAACGTGTTTCCCGAGCTATGTCAGCGTCCTTTTTTCATGTCTTGGCCAGCTTTTTTTATTACAAAATTAAAAACAACAAGAAAACCAATTCAACATACACGACCTAGCTGAAAACCACCCTTCGTCTGTTGCGCACTATTGTTTTCACTCTGGGCGTTCTGCAAGAAGGACAGGTCATTTAGAATTCTTCATACGTCGTCCAGTGGTAGATTGCAAAGATTCCTTGAAGCCGCAACTATCCGTCATTTCCGCCTAGAACTTTGCAAACAGAAAGATGTGATAGTGAACTGGCGCTTTACTGGTAAAACAAGCAGTTAATTTTAAGACTGGTTGAATTAGTACTTCATTTGTAACAGGTTCACTTTTTATGCTTCATTTCATTTGATTGTTACTGTAGTATGCACCTGACGAGATACATTGAAAAATTAGAAAAAGTGGAGAGAAAAAACACCGGAAAGATCCCTTTTCACGCCTTTAGGCGCATCGGGCATACGGAAAGAGCATCCCGAATTTGTACAGACCAATCGGCGCTAGGTGGGTAATGTGGTCAGCATTACGCCGGCTGTCTTTAATTTCCCAGAAAATTCATCCTATAGTACCAATTTTAGCTAGGTCGATCTTTGACACTCTATACCATGATACCAATCCACGCGGCGAGCAGAGGGTTTTGAAAGCGGCGCGTTAGAATTGCCAGGCCGACTCGCAACGCCTAAGCCACAGACGCCGCACCGTGAAATATGCTAGACAATAAATTGTGGGATCAATTGTTTGTGTCAAATTTACAAAGTGGGAACACTGCTTTGATATTTTAGACACTATTTAGTTAACATTGTCATGTGGTTACCATTACACACGCATACACACTAAGTTTACACTTCCTATAAAATTTGTTGGCATTATTTTTTAGGCGGCCAACTTGAGAGCAAAGGAGGTTCAATAGGAGGTTCAATAGCAGTTCAATATATATATATATTGAACTGCTATTGAACCTCCTACTGAACCTCCTTTGCTCTCAAGTTGGCCGCCTAAAAAATAATGCCAAGAATATATATATATATATATATATATATATATATATATATATATATATATATATATATATATACAGTTTACAAGGAATCTACAAAGACAGCTTTTAGCCAAACACAAAATGCCAGTAACACATAGGAAATTCGACATGCAAGCGGTGATAATATCGATGTCAACAGCAATAATTGTAATGCATAATTAAAAGTTCTTTTTATGGAACTCACAGCGCAAACAACAACAAAAAAAAAGCGGTCTAAAACGTGCAGCGACCAACAAGTGGTGGCAAGAGACTTCCCATGAGAGGGTTAGGGGCCTATGCTCCATTTGGTTATAAAGGCTAAAGGAAATGAATAATATAAATATGCGATAGAATAACAGTACATATCGTTAACTACTAGAGGCCCAATACCAGATGCATATAATGCTTACACACAATAAACACACATGGCAACGGTAGTGATAGAAATAGTGTTAAATAATAATGAAGAAACTGTGCTGATGTGTGCATTGGACACATAGGTCAAAGGTAGACAAGTAAGAAACATCTAATGGCACTAAGGATGTGTTTTCTGTGGAAAACTAATTTATATGGCCGATATGGTCAACCTTATGCTAGCTTCCCAAGACACTACTGTGTATTTATTTTAGGCCGGGTGTACCTAGGAGTTAATTTATGTTATTAAAATCGGCTTCGATATGGGTTCAAAAAAGACAAAGTGAATTCTGGTTATTCATCAGCAGTATGAGATTATGTTGGTGTGTCTATGTGCGTCTCTCTCTCTCTCTCTCTCTCTCTCTCTCTCTCTCTCTCTCTCTCTCTCTCTCTCTCTCTCTCTCTCTCTCTCTCTCTGAGTGTGTGTCTCTCTCTCTCTCTCTCTCTCTCTATCTCTTTTTGTGTCTCTCGGTGTGTGTTTCTGTGCGTGTGTGTGAAAACTAACGAAAGTAACACAGTTATAATTTATATTCGGCAGATGGCACACAGAGAAGTCACGAAAATACCAAACCCACCCAGGCAATCGATCTTCTGGACCAGGATATAGAGATTATTGCTCCAGTATCCGACAACGATAGTGGCTCTGTAGCTATCAACTCTGAACATGTCGTCAATGGTATCAAATCAGGCAGCTACAAACAACTCCAAGACACCAATGGGCATATCTACAAACTGGCAACGGGGAATGGCAAAGGCACAGTCCGTGTTGCTAACATCGCAACTTCAGAACCTCAAGCAGAATCCATGGGGCATTCTTTATCTAAACGTTTTAGTGAATTTGTCGGCAAGAGAGTGACACTTGAAGATGAAAGCACTGATAAAAATGCAGAGGTACTAAATCTACCCCAGGAGACAAACGAAGATCTTCTGCCAGTTGTCTTCACTGTATTACCAGCTGATCAAGACGAGAAGGAACATGATGCTTTCAACAAACGTGTTTATGATTTTGTAGGCAAACGAAGTTACGACTTCGTTGGAAAGAGAAGCTATGATTTTGTGGGCAAACGATATCCCTACGACTTTGTTGGCAAGCGCTCACCGTATGATTTTGTTGGCAAAAGGTCCTCTTACGACTTTGTTGGGAAACGATCACCTTACGACTTTGTTGGCAAAAGGTCATCCTATGATTTTGTTGGCAAAAGGTCACCTTACGACTTTGTTGGCAAAAGATCGCCTTACGACTTCGTTGGCAAAAGATCGTCTTACGACTTTGTTGGCAAAAGATCACCTTACGACTTTGTTGGCAAAAGATCACCTTATGACTTTGTTGGGAAAAGGTCACCTTACGACTTCGTTGGAAAAAGATCACCTTACGACTTCGTTGGCAAAAGATCACCTTACGACTTTGTCGGGAAAAGATCACCTTACGACTTTGTTGGCAAAAGATCCCCTTATGACTTTGTCGGGAAAAGATCACCGTATGACTTTGTAGGCAAGCGTTCATCTTATGAATTCGTTGGTAAACGCTCACCTTCCGAGTCTGATACGAAAGCAGAACAAAACAGTGATGTTTCAGAAAACAGTCACTCGCTGACCTTGTCACCAACAGTCAGTGAATACACAAAGGAGGAATCTGTCAACCATAAGCCTCAACAAAAATCAGAAAGCATCTCAGAGGCCGGTGAAACTAAAAAGCGATACACAGAATTTCTAGGCAAAAAGAAACGAACCGAAGAAGAAGCAGAAGAAACCCCTTCTAACAGTCATCGTTTTGCGGAACTTTTACGGAGCAATGGGTTTAGAAAACGACTTTCGAAAATATTGTTTAGTCAGAAACTAGCAGACCAGTATCCCGAGTTCATAGGGAAAAGAGATGAAACAAAAGACGAGTGAAATACACACACCAGCGAAGTTGACCGTTCAAAAACTATAGGATTGCGCAGAAGTTTATGAACAACAGCGATGACTGTACCACACTATCATTGTTTCTAATTTTTACCTATATGATTATTTCATCAACATGAAACAGTGTTATATCTGGCCTCTTGCTCACGCTCTATTTCAAAATTAAAATAATATAGTGTTTGATACAAATGTGGGTGTTGTCTATGACATTATCGTCATCAAACATCAGGTTTTTATAAAACGTCGCTTTCATCGTGGCACGCCTGAAAGTCTCTCTTTTATGTAACCAGTTCTCAAGCACTGTGTACTTTCAAATTCAATTTCTATGATATCACTGTACACAAATTACAGCAGGTTACTGCATCACCAAAATAGACATTAGTTAGAAAGTTATAGTTGTTTGTGAATATGTACAGTTTAAAGAAAGAACTCATTGCTAGTAAACTTTTTATATCTCTGTAGCCATCCAACCTTCTCTTTGGTGTAAGTAATGTGTGTGTTTTCATATTGCTGCAAAAGGGTAAAAAACGGACAATTGTGGCTTGGGCGTGCATGAAGCATCACCATATGAACATTACAGAGACTGGCGTGGATTTACCGTCAGGGAAAGGCGGGAGTTAAAGGAAATCAAAGGAGGGAAAGGCGGGAGTGAGCGGAAATGAAAGGGGTGATAGGCAGGAGTGAGAGGAAATGAAAGGAGGGATAGGCAGGAGTGAGAGCAAATGAAAGGGGGCATAGGCAGGAGTGAGAGGAAATAATAGGATGGATACAAAAGTAACATGGATCGATCGCTCTGCTTGTCCCGTTCTGGCTGCCACCTAAAGGTTTACTATACCATCCTGAGATTACAAAATCTCATTCTGGACCACAGACCAATAAGACAATCCCTGATACCCTCCCTGTACAACCTTCAGAGAAGTTATAATTGGAGCACTAGAAACGGCCACTCCAACAAAGTGTAACCTGCAGAATTGTGCGGGCAAAAGAAAAAAGTAAGTAAAGACCCCCTTTCATCGCCTTTATGCGTATTGGTCATATGGGGCTTGACCTATATTTTATCCACCAATCGGCACTTGGTGAATGATGTGGTCAACATCAGGCCGGCCGCCTTTACTTCCCAAGACTGTACCTAGCAGCAATTCAAGGCTGTGTCTACTTGGAATCCAAGGTCATTTTTTAAGAAAGTCACATTCCGTCAGGTCCCGAACACACGACCTTCCGATCCGCAGATAAGCGTCTAGCTGTTACACCACAGTGACTCCTAGGTTATGCAGGTGAGGAACACAAAATGTTGCAGCTGTAGGACCACTGATACTGGACAACATGGACATTCTGCAGACTCTATATGAATAAATGCTAATAATAGATAGGTTATTATAATCGACAACTGCTCTTTAATTGGAGAACGCAGAAGATGAATGAAGATGCAGAGGAAGTGGGCGAGTGGAAAATAAGAAGAGGAGGAGGAAGTAGACATCTTTGCATCCAATAAAAAAGTTTGAACAGCGGATCAGCATCATGGCACACGGGTAGCAACCCACAAGTGCTTCGTTCTTATTTTAACTCAAGGCTGAGTCTAAAGAAGCTCAGCACAGTGCACAGATTCTGCAGCACTAGCAATTATCCTAAAATACTTCGGATAGATTTTTAACTCTAAATTTTGCCCGAGCAACGCAGTTAGGCTACTATTTTCGATTTCCAACAGCCAAGGAATTTTTTTTAGTGCGCGACAATGCACACGGGCGTCTGATCTCATTGCCCAGAGACCATTGGGAATTACTAGAAGTCCGTCCACGTAAAAAAGACCCAGCCCTTACCAGGGATTGAACACGGAACCTCTAGCACTAGAGGCGGACACCATACCTCGAGACCACGCAGCCCCCTTTAAGAAACCTCGAACATGTAATTCACTTGACCGTGTGCATTCTTAGTTCTCCATAAATTAGTTGTTCTTGACCTTCGTAATGCCTCAGCTCTTTAATACAGTTCCTCGTGTTGCAGTGATCCCCAAGCGTTTAAAAACATCGTTGTTGCTACTTGATAACTCCAATGGTCTTAGGCGACCCCTGTCAAAGGGTCGTTCGACCCATAGGGGTCGCGACTCACTTGTTAAGAACCGCTTTTATTGACATACACATTTCCAAATTCGATTCCGAACGGTCAGATTTTTTGTTTTTAAATAACCTTCTTTGGCGTCCATTGGGTAACAGGTAAAGACCTGGGAAGTAATAGGGGTCAACATTTTGTTGACTCCATCAATCACCGAGTACTGAATGATCTATAAAATATAGTTCTAGCACTATATGCTCAATACGCCTGAAGGCGTAGAAAAAAGGTCTTTTACTTTTATTTCACATTTCTGAAAATCGGTGCAAAATTTCAGTAGAATAAAAACTTACCCAGCAAAGCGAGCTCACCCTACAAGTAGCCTGCAGGACAAAGCGGTCGGTTCGCCATTGTGTTCCTAGCATGTCAAATGCCACACACATTATCACATGATTTCTGGGTACACAATGTACCTGACAATCTTGCTCGCAAACATTCAACTCCTGAAAATTGTCTGTCTCTCTGTCTCTGTCTCTGTCTCTCTCTCTCTCTCTCTCTCTCTCTCTCTCTCTCTCTCTCTCTCTCTCTCTCTCACTCACTCGCTCTCTTATTCTCTCTCTCTGTGAGTATGTGCGTGAGAGAGAGAGAGAGAGAGAGAGAGAGAGAGAGAAAGAAATAAAGAGAGTAAATGTGTGTGTGTGTAACTCAGTGACCACAACTAACAGGTTCGTGTCTTTATTTATTTACATTGACCTATATTATTATTAGGCCTTTTGAATTCGCTTTTCAACCTCATGGCACAGAGGCAATACGTGTAACACAGACACAACACACACGGCATAGATACAGCACATATCTTTCTTCTTCTTCAGCATTTGAGCCCTGAAGGTTCATTGCTGCAGATATCACACGCCTCCATTTATCTATCTGTTTGGCCTTCACTTTCCAGTTGGTGACATCAAATGTTTGCAGGTCTGTCTGGATATTATCTCTCCATTGTCTTCTTTTTCTGCCTAGTTGTCTACGGCCATTCATCTCTCTTGTGTACATTTTTAACCTCTCTGTCATTTGACATTCTCTCAATATGCCCCAGCCATTTCAACCTATTATTTCTCATGATGCTAATCATCAAAGCGGATTTAAACAGATCGTGAATTTCTTTGTTGCTTCTCATTCTTCATTCCCCGCTGTTTGCATTTTTAATAGGTCCAAAAATTCGTCGTAATACTCTATTTTCAAAAAATTTTAATAAGGCTTCATCTCTTTTAGTTTTGCTCCAAGTTACACAGACGACTGGTCTTATCAACATTTTGAACATTTTGATCTTATACAAGACACATGGTACAAGAAAAATTCAACTTTCCCATAACACACATGACGCAGGACAGAAGACTAGCCCTTTTTATTATCCATTGCATCTCCTTGTGAGATGCAATTTTTCGTTATCTGAAGCTCTACTCTGGCTCTTGCCGGGGACCGCAATATAGCCAGATCATAAATATGGTCTAATGGCTAAACGCCCCGGTTTCT